GGGTGACGTTGATAAATGATCTTGGCTGAGCGCTTTTCTCTCGGGCACCCAACACTGACCCTCCCACACATCCAGGGTGACCATAGAAACCAGCAGACAGGAGGATGGGGGTCCCCTGCCCGAAGCCCCCCCACTCACCCTCTATAGAGGAGGATGCTGTGACACCTCTGTGTGAGCTCCCAGAGCCTGGAATGTACCGAGCATTACTTACACAAAGACAGACAGAGATAGAATTATTTCTGGTATGTAATGCTACCTATATCCAGGAATGGACTCAAGGTTACCAGGATGAGCAGAAAGGGAAGGAATTTCCAGTAAGAAGAGGCTCATCTCAGCCCTTTCCATCATCTGAATATTTTATTTAAGCAAAATAAGAAATATTGAGAGCAGTAATTGATTCATAATGATTTATAAATCGATGCGTTGAGGCCAAAGGGTGTTTGTTTATTTTGCTTTCTTATTCTGAAGCTGCAGCTCCAGTGAGGTTGGGGCTGTGGGATGGAGGCTGGGAAATGAGAAGCAAGCAGCCTCATCCATCATCCCTGTCAGGGGAGCTGGCTGGGGGAGCAGCATGCAGACTCCCTTCTGTTCTACACCAAAACTATTAATATTAAAATCGCACTTTCCCGGCCATCCCATCCAGCCATTCACACACACAGCACCAAGCAACAATGTGCCCAACACCGCCACAGCCCTGCTGGCGCTACAGCCAGGGGCTAGGAGCCACCATACTTCTATACCATACGATAGAGTGTGTGTGTGTGTATGTATGTATGTATGTATGTGTGTGTATATATATATTTTTATATATATATAAAGAGAGAGATATTATAGAGAGAGAGAGAGAGATTATATATATAAATAGAGAGAGAGAGAGAGATTATATATATAAATATAGAGAGAGAGAGAGAGAGAGAGAGAGAGAGAGAGAGCGCCTTATTGCATCCCTGTGCAGTATTCCCATACAGTGTAAATTGTGTGTGAGCTCACATGCCGTTAATTTGCAAACTGCTAAATGAAACGATCTATTCCTCGATGTTTGCAGCATTCCCCCCTCATACACCGAGGATCAGATCGTACTCATGTGTCATATTCTCCTACATATACATGAACACACAAGTGTTGGGCAGATCTCTGTGTCCCCAGGATAGTATTTGGTGATGTTGTTCGCCTTGTGAAATGTTTCACAAGTAATGAATGTCCCCTCTCTCCCCTCCACCCCCCCCAGAACAGCTGCTGTGCCGGCCTGTCTCCCCCTACTAACCATTTCAGTGCCGGGCTCAAGGTGATCGGGCAGTGTGTGGCCCCCAGCATGTGGCAGCGGAAGGAGCCGGTTCTTCACATTATTCGTTTCATTTTCTCCCTGTCCTTATAGTTTCTGCCTCTCAGCTAGATGGGTGAATTGTAGGCGAATTATTCGTTATGCATATTATTTGTGACCTCTGCGGTAGAAGGCACATACACCGAAGTGTCAGCCAGGACTCCTCTAGACAGCTGAGCTGAAGAGAAATCTCTAGCACTGTGCTGTGTCATTTTTATATTCTATATTCTTGTTCTGTGTTTACATTTTCAAGGTTTTCTGTGAACAAATTTCTGAGCATCGGCAAAAGTCATGAATGGTAAAAGTCACATCGGAGACGTTTATCGTTCGGAATCCGTCTGGGAGAGAAGAGGCAGATTGGAGCGGCGATTTCTTTGCTGGCTTCAGACGTTTGAAGATGAGTTTGTATTTATGAGATATGTAAAAATGACCCATTTCCGGTGATCTCTTCCTGCACTCCATTAATAGTATTCTGTTAATAAGAAAACGGATCACAAGAAATGTATTCTACCCACTCACAATGTAACTGTATTGGAGGTTTAAACAAGCCGACCCCGGAAATAAAACTCACCATTTTAGTAAATAGCTCTTGTGACTGTAGAATTCTCTTTGTAAGTGTAAAAGATTTGCACAACTGAAACAATGGAATGTTTTTAAAGTGTATCTGAACTCAAACACTCAATGTAATATATTGCAATCCTTAGATGTGGTCACTGCATTCGTTTTTCCAGCTTTCCCCCCTTTATTTTCCACTGGTAACCCTGAGAATAACACATTTCCTGTCCATTCCTGTCTACACTCATTCCTCCTCTGCATTCATGGAGGGAGCCATAGTTGTCACACAGTCTGGACTTCAAACATGTCTTCCTTTGTTTATCTCCATTACCTGTTGGATTGATAGGATTAGTAGTTTACACAAGATAGATAAGGTTGTTTGTGCTTTATTTTCAGCTCACAGGAAGTGACAAGGACAAAGAGGGGAATTTATCAAAACTGGAGCAGACAAAATCTGGAACAGCAGTGCATGGCAACCAATCAGCCTCTCCCTTTTATTTTCAAATCTTAACTGAACACACTGAAGTGAGAAGCTGATTGGTTGCCAGGCACAGCTGCTCCAGATTTGATAAATTCCCCCCACAGTATTTCTGGCAAGATCAACTGGTATTTGTTTTATACAAGCTGAAAAAAGAAAACGAATGCAGCCACCACACCTGAGGACTGGTAAGCTGCAAAACATGACATTGTTGTTTCTGGGTCTGGATATACTTTAATATACAATGCACACATTGAGGTTTGCCTTCATTTTATTGAGATTTGTTGGCTGCTTTAACACTGGCCATACTTCCCCTGCACTGTCATGATGTGTATTTTCCACATAGGTGGATGTGTGTGTGTGTGTGTGTGTGTGTGTGTGTATTCAGGTTTATTCCGTTGATACATACAGTGGGGTATTTTGTGCAGCCCTGATCATTCTTGTGTGACCTCATTCAGTAACACAAAACTAAACACACACAGAACCCCACAAAAAATCCAAAATGAAATATTTATTACCGCATTTTGTAACACTTTTTTTTTCTTTAAACATAAACTCACAGTCCTCATACAAGTATTTAATGTAAATTTGACAAAGCTTAAAGGTAACAGCATTTTTCTCTAATGAGGAACACGTGCTGAGAAAGAAATTATCCATGGACATACAATACCAATCCCACAGCAGGTTTTACTAGGAGAACATTCTTTTTTTTTTCATTTGAGGTAACACATAGAATATCTAACATGAAACATTAATAGAACAAACTCTGAACAAATTTTGTTACAGTATTGTCTTCCTTACACGCTCAGCCTCACGCGCTCACTGACACGCTCACACACTCGCGTCCACAGGCGTTCGCTCACTCGCTCGCTCTCACACTCCAATCTTTGAGTTTACAATTAAGTTCAGTCTGTCATTTGGTGCAAAGACCAGATTGCAGGAAGCCCCCCCTTTGTCCATATAAAGGGGATGTCCAAATTATGGAGGCACGGCATAGGTGCCCCGGCTTGTCCTTCTTATGTCTGTGCAGCTGCCCCAATCCAAATTGTCCTGTAGTGCTGAGGGGCAGACAGACAAACAATAGATGTCATCCAGGCCTTGGTCTAGTTCCGCGCTGGTCACAGGTAAAAATATTCTGTAGCTTTCCACGGGAGGGGAGGATGGGGGGGGGCGGGGTTCTGGCTGAGCCAAGTCATTCATTTGGAAACAACACACATAGTGTGGAAAAAACAAGGATATCTTTTCTTGTCTCTTCTAAAACTATTTAAATCATCAGAAATGTACAAGTTAACTTAGTTCCTATGTTTTATCCTACAGTAGTTATATCTCTGAGTCTTTCTGCTTTCCAGAGGGGACTTGTGTTTTTTTTTTTTTTAATGGGCATTAAAGTGAACCCATGACTTCACATTTGTGTACTTTGTTTCGTTGGTCCTTTGTTATTGATGAAAAAAAAATGACAAAAGTTAAAAAAAAGAAAAAAAGTCACAGCTGTCTGGAATTTTAAAACCAATCAAAGTTCAAAAGTCTTAAAAGATTATCTTTTTATGTTTTCCCTTGAGGTTTCATAGAAATGATGGTTTCTTGGGCAGAATGAGATTCCATGAGCTGGGCTTCAGAAGAATGGGGGTGATGGTGCAGACGTGGCTGTCCCTGGTAAGGTGAATCCTCCATGTGATGTATGGACATGGCTCATGCTGATGGGAACGTCGCAGGTCCATGTCTTGAGGAAGGGCAAAATGTCAACTGTGGAGAAGTGTGAGCTGGTTGTACCAAACTGATACTCATAGGACCACCCTGAGAAAGACAGTCCCCTGGCATGTCCTGCAGACCTGAAAGAAATGAAGACATGGTCAGGGGTCGTGAATTGATACACATACATGTATGTACACAGCAGCTCTGGGGTTACGGTACTTTTCACATGCACGGGTATGCCATCAGAAATCACACAAAAAGCTACAGGTCTATTATAAAAAGTCACACACAGTCATTTCCCCTTCAGTCACTACGAGGAGCACAGTGGACGATAGGATTGATCGTGAATTGATTTTTCATGTAAATCAATACATTTTATGCTTAGTACATAATTATTATAGAATGGAAAAATCCATTAGGTGGAAAAGCGCAGCTTCTGAGCGTTTGCCATGATAGATCTCACGCCCGTATGTTTTACATTATCCTTAAAAAATACAATTCTCTGGATAGAAAGCTATATAAAGAGCCAGTTGCATGGTTCCTTATTCAAATGAAATTCCTCTTGTGTAAGATACAGTCACCGCTGATATGAGAAATTAGGTCATCTCTTACTTTAGGTATGGCAGCGCTGTGCGTCAGAATTCGGCTACACATAAGATTTCTTAAATGATTGTAATCTATGTAAATGAAGTGCCGGTGAAAAAGTTCATTTCAGCTCCCGTGTGATAAAAAATGAGTAGTTGAGCACTAACTGGGTACCGCGATGACACCAGTGACATACATACATGTATGATGAGCTGATTGCCACTTCTCAGACATCCTCGTGTAAACTTGGGAACTTTCCTCTCTCCTCCTCTGACCACAAATAGGTCACTGGTTGTATCAATGTGCGAAAAAGACTTGTACTCACTAGGCCTTACACGTCAAGACTGAACAGACAGACCTCATTTTTATTACACATCACTTGTAAGAGTGATTCTATTATACCAAGAATGTGTTTGTGCCGACCTACAGTGCTGTGCGATGTTATATTTTATAGTTAAATCTGTAAGGAAACCAACTGAATTGTTAGTGTTAGAACAGTGAATATTATGAATGCATGTAGTAGATAGTAAGTTGTTCTTTCCTTCTGTGTAGATTGAAGCCCATATTCCACAGAAAACAGCAGTGATCCCACTGACTTCCCCTTATGTTGTTTCTGCTTAGAATCTTACTTTACAGAAATACCCCTCCCCCATCATTTCCTAGAACAATACAAAAAGATCCTATTTGTAACATTTTGCTGTGTCGGTTATTTAGATGGAATGAACACTACATTATCCTCCCCCTTTGTTCTCCCTCCAGAAACAAGCATGTGTGACCAACCTGAATCTATCAGGGTTATTCACTAAAGGGTGAAGAGTTTGGAGAAGGCAGGAGAAGTGGACAATCTAGGACAACATAGCTGAACTGGAAAGTGAGCTGAATTGGAGAATGTTTCCAAATCGGCTATGTTGTCCTAGATTGTTCACTTCTCCTGCCTTCTCCAAACTCTTCACCCTTTTGTGAATAACCCTGTATGTGTTTATGGAAAGACCTTGTAATGCAAAACATCTCAGGGTAGATAGATTGCGCCTGCATGTCCAACCGCTATCCTCTGTCTGTCAGACTAGTTAGCAGCAGGAAGAGCACAAACATACAAAAAGCAGTAAGCTCCAAAAACAAATACATTTACCATTTATTCATTGAGATCAGTCAGAACCATTATCTTTTATTTATGACTGGTTGAGCTACCTACAGACAGCGGACAGCCGTAGGACATGCAGGTACAATCTATCTACCCTAAGATATTTTGCATTACAAGGTCTTTCCATAAAGACATAGCTTCAGGTTGGTCCCACATACATGTTTATGGAGGGGGGATGTAGGGGGAGGATTGATTAGACACCCCTTGCACCAGCCAATCCCAGAAGGAAAACAGTAGCGATCAGTTAGGAAACTCCAACCCAATTGGTCAGTTTTTCCCCTGGAAGAGTCTGCCGACAGAGGTCTGAGATGGTTGGATGGTGCTGACACGTGTGTCCCTTCTCTCATGTCTACGGCTGGTATTACTTCTCTTTGTATGAAGTTATATAATGATGAATTATAGGTTTGTTTGGGTCTGTCCTGATTACACTTCGAGCGTTATGAAGGGGATCATGTGCGTCCCCGAAAGCGCTAGAATTTGGATGGCATTGTACTGTCAATAAATGGACTTTTGCTAACTTCACTTGAAAACGTGAAAATTGCACATCACATGACACTTGCTGAAGTTGGTGCTATTTATCTTCCATGTCTTGCCATGAATAGAGACCATACCTATGTTTTCACCTTCACTAACTAAGGTGATATTAGGAAGTTTCATGTCACTTTTACCATGACATAGGAATTATACACATACACCAATTCTGAATATATATGTAGAGAATGCCATATTTGAAGCATCAAGCCGAGCTATCTTGTGAAATAATGATATCTCTGTGTTATTTGTATTCATTAGAAGCAACAATTCCTCCAACATACCAAATGTACACATTGTACTTCTTTTATAGCTCTGTTCATACTACAAATATAGTTGGCTGTTCACTGCTACTTTCAGATTGAGACCATTGCTGTTTCTCTGTAGACACTGGCATACGCCACCTTTGACCTCACAAGATTAGTTTTGGACAGCTGCATAATAGCATAGTGCAGTCACACTAAGGGGCGTTACTACAACTAATGACCTAATTAGACCTAAATGAGATGATAAGATTATTGGGCATTTTTCTCTATTTTTACAGCCTCTTTTATCAATTTCCTGATTACTGAAATAGATTAGAATCTCCTGAAAATTGACCAGGTATGCAACCAAGGTGACTTCCACAGCTGATAAGTATCAACCTAGACAGCTAACAGGCGGTATAGAAATAATGGCAGCCTTAAACTGGCCATACACTGGTAGACCTTTCTACAAACTTTCCTTTAAAAAATCTTGTCAGAGCATTCGATAATGCCATCAGAGTTTGGAGGAATGTTGTTTGAAATTTTTTTTTACTTTAACATTCAATTTGGGAATGAATGGAGTTTCCCGAACAAAAAACACATTCACTGTTAGAATTTCGTCCCTTCGAGAAGAATTTTTCATCCTTTGAGTTTTTTGTCACTCTGGTCAATTAAAGTAGTATTAAGGTCTGGTCATTTTTTACCATAATGCATTCTTTGCATTAGGGTAAAAACTGCCTAGTACCTTTTTCTCCCCCAGTCACCCCCCACACTTACCTGTCAGCGACACTCTTCCCCGCCGCCGATCCCGACTTGATCCTCCATTGCCTGTACTTCCTGGTTGCAGGGGGAGAATACTGATGGCAAAGGAGCCATAGGCTCCTTCATCCTTTAATCAAAGTGTTGGTCAGAGAAGAGGGGCGTGGCCTGCCACAGGGCTGTGTGTATCTATGGACGCACACAGCCACTGCGGGCACGGGTGCCTCCGTTAGCCGATGGAGGCACCAGTGCAGGGGGAGGGGGGAAGAGCGCTGCGTGGACCCACTTGAAAATGAGGAATGTAAAACTTTTCAAGAACCCGTATCTTCAGAAACAAATCACTTCTACTGTCATGGTAAACAAAAAAAAACTAAAAACTTTTCAAGAAAAAGAACAACATCCTCAGGCAATGGTGGGTGTCCTAATAGCAACTATTATTTATTTATTTATTACAGGTATTTATATAGTGCCGACAATTTACGCAGCACTTTACATAGTTGCACATTCACATCACTCCCTACCCTCAAGGAGCTTACAATCTAAGGTCCCTGCTCACATGCATACATAGGGGGCCAACTTATAGAAGAGCCAATGAACCTACCAGCATGTCTTTGGTGTGTGGGAGGAAACTGGAGAACCCGGAGGACACCCACGCAAGAACATGCAAACTCCTTGCAGATAGTGACCTGCTCGGGATTCGAATCAGGGACCTCCAGTGCATTTAAAAAAAGGAGGTTTAATATCGCTTTAACTTTTTGATATTCAAATGTACATCCCAAAACCATTTTTTACAATGAAAGTCTACTGGTGTATGGACAGCTTTAGAATAACTATTTTGGCATGTATGAGATAATTGTACAATCACCTCCATTGTCTCTTGTGTTGAGTACTTTATGTGTTGTACTTGATGTATGGGCCAATTTAGGTGATGATCATATAACAGGAAATAGTTATAGGATTGTTGGTTCATGTGTATGGGTGCCGTCAGACCACTATAGACACCAGTGATCTTGGAGCAAATATGTGGGAAATTTTAGCCTGGGATTAGGCTCCGGGGAGTTGTGCCTGCTTGTACTCCTTCCTCAATTTAATATATGCATCTCTAAAGAAAAACCTTCTGGTTGTCCTCTAGTGTCTTTCCTGCTGGCCACAGAGTTGCAAAAAAAATCTCCAAGCTAGATGAAGAATTGGCAGGGAGTGCCTTTCCATGAAGATGAGATAAAATGTTGATTTGAAGGCAGCAACAACAGAAATACTTTCCGGGTTTATCATACGAATGCGGCTGTTACTTAGTCACCTATACGTGCTGGCCACTTCCATTCTGCCCCATTGTGGAGTAAAGGGGGCATTATTTTTTCCATACCATTAAGTAGTAATATGTGGTATATATTTGTTTTATTATCACAAGTGCTGGTGCCATCTAAACACAATATCCCAGGCTGCTTCGCTGGCCCTGTGTTTGTTCTAGCCCGGCAGCCTACTCAATGGATGATGATAATTAAGTACCAAATATACCATATTGTGTGGCTGCATAATCAAATCAAGAGAGGATAATATTCCTCTGTATTAAGCTATTAATGTAATTGGTCATGAAGCATAAAATATGTTATGTAATTAAATAGGCTAGAAATTATATGGGCTATATTAAGAATTATCCAAGCTGAGAAAATGTTTTCTCTATGGCCGTTATAGGGTACATTGCTCTCTGTTTCCTGACTGCATTTGTAAAAAGAAGGAAGAAAGAGGGAAATTGGTTTCATCGCTGGATGTCACGGCAGCCCCCTGAGATCGCCTATGAAATGTTGGCCTCTATTTACATATACAGAATGATTTAATCAAGGTACGTCTTCCTATATTCGGCCTCATTAAACAAAGAAGTTTCAATGTTATATGCAATTCTGTCTGCTCTGCTGCCTTCAGCCAAGGGGATGAAACTGGCAGCGTTACACATCTTTTTTTTTTTTTTAATACGTCAAAAACACTTGAAGCTTTAAAGTCTAATGGATTTCTTAATCCAAGTGCAGTCATTCAGCCCTCAGTGAAAAATCCATTGCTTCATATTCAGTTACTCCTAAATGTCTCTCCCTTTAAATCTATTGACTGTCTTCCTATTCTGTATATCAGGCTGAGAGAAGCATGAAAAATAAATAATGACAACAAATAACCAGGCAGGATGTCCCCAGCGAAGAATCACTAGTGCCACTTCTGTCATACACAGTCACTCTGTAATGGAGAGACTCTTAATCTGCGCATACGTGATAATTTGGGCATCCATCCAAGACTGACAGATTCATGTCACTCAAAGGACAATTTCACTGGCCCCAACATCTCCCGGTTTTAATCTGAAACAAGTTTAATTTTGCAGAAGGAATTTAATGCCCTGGAAGAAGTGTCACCTTCAGGATGTAGGTTTAGAGAGGACATTGTGACAAAGGCAGCCTGGCCCCTTCAGGTGTATGGTAATACAGACTGGGAGCTTATATGGAAATACACCAAAGGCTGATTATATATTGTGATCTTTCATTATTCTGCTGCATATGAATTTCAACCATTCTGGGTTCACGTGCATTAACTCCGGGTCAAGGATGGACCTCAAACAGGTCCAGGAGGAGTAGTGCTTCATTACACAGAGACTGATTTATACAAAAATGGAAGTGCTGAACATTGCAGCCTATTACAGATATGTGGACTGTGGGTTAAATAAAATTATCTTAATATGATTGCTATATGTTTTGTCTAAATGTCACACGTAGGTATTCATTTAGCGACTGTGCAGTTGTTATGTGTCTGATACTTACTTCCCCCTGCTTGTGATTGCTCTGCAGAATGATGTTTACATATAGTGCCACTGGCCATCCATGCCCATGTTCATGCCCATTCCACTCATAGGACCTATAAAATGGAAGATATATATAAGTACAACAATGTAACTAGCACACTATTATCATGTCTATTTAATCACTTTATGATCATTGCTGTGAGTAATTTTTCCCTCAAAACGGCTTTTTATTTTACATAAAATTATATTTTATGTCGTATTTATAAGACATTTGCCAAGTTTAGCTGTTGTCACATTCTCCGCTCATTTGCTGAAAGCCTAAATTAATCTTTAGAAATATAATCTTTAAGTTTTGATAATTGTTGATATTTCATAAAATCAATACATAATTGTGCCCCTTCCTTCCAGTGGTGCAAACACAATGTGAGTGCAGTGTATGGCACCCCAGTGATTAGACATCCCCCTAAAGCAGTGTTTCTCAACCTGTGTAGCCTTAAGACCCACATTTGTCCTTGGCCATTAAGTCGTTAGCCAAGTTGCATTGCAATGGAATGCAGTGTGGGCTGCTGTGCTGTGACGGAGTTCCATCCATATATGCATCCACTTGTACAGCTTCCTGGCATGCCCTTTAGAGGTGCCGGGAGCCAGATTGTGACGTCACTCCGGTACAAGCACCTCTACAGGGTACGCGAGTGAGTTGTAAGCAGTGCAAGTATGGATGGAGCTCCCTCGCAGGCATAGCCCCAGCCCACCCCAGCTCAACCTGACACTCAGCCCTGGGCAGCATATTTTGAATGGCTGCTTGGCGTGAGAACTGACAGTGCTGTGCTAGGGGGAGGCAGAAGAGCCTCTCACCTAGAAAAGTGGAAGGCACACGGGGACCCACTGAACACGTGGTCGCGACCCACTTTTGGGTCACGACCCACCAGTTGAGAACCAAGGCCCTAAAGCACATAAAACCGCTGCTTTAACTTTTGCCACTCCGCCACTGTAAGCAACTTGAACGCCTTTTCTCAGAATGCCAGGAGAAGATGGCTTAACTCATAGCAAAACAGTGTGAAGTGATAGGCTGGAGACTGCCATTATCCGCTACCTACAAACAACACACCCATTTCCTTATCTGTGGCTTCAGATCCTCTCTGACAAGGTCAGAAAGTTCCTGAATGGTAGACTGAGAGGGTCCCTACTTCTGCACTACCTTATCTTCAAAGCAAAAGGAAAGCACAAGTGACTACATTCTATCAACCAAATGGGGATAATGTTAAGTGACCTTTGCTTGGAGATACCTCCTGGCTACACCCCTTCACCTGCAGCTAAAAGCAAAAACAAGGAATCATCATCCCTGACCAAATGACAAGGCACATTAATCCTGACAAAGAGCACCCCATACCAACAAGCAGAATTGTGTCTTCTGTGCAGAGATTATGGCATACAAGGGTGACAGCACTATGGAGTGAGGATTTGGAAAACTTCCACAGCCCAAAGGCCTTAGCATCTCATAAATGTGCAAGATCAATGGACACCGGAGAACAGATGTTGGTGAATCTTGATAAGTTTACGTGACCCAGCAAATGTACGTTTTAAAATGGCAAATGTGTGGCTAATATACGCAGAATGTTTTTTTATAAACAAGGCCCTGTGTGTCCTAATGTGAACTGTACACCTATATTAAGTCTTACTTCGTGGTATCTCTTAGAATAATTCTGGACACCATAATTCTGCAGATCTGACTCAATGGAGGACTTTGCCAAGACTGTCACCTTGTTATGGGGCCTAGTGTGTCATTTTATGTCAGTGTTTCCCAACTCTAGTCCTTGGTGACTACTAACTAAGCACGTTTCTAGATCTTCTTATATAACTATTAGATAAAATAATGAATATGCTTCATCAAAGGTGTTACTGGCTGTGCCTCCATCCTGGCTCTTGGAAGACTTGCATTGTTATTGAACCCCTCTCTCGAACCTCAGGGGACCAATAACAGGACATGTTTTATAGAGTTCAATGTGTCTGCACAGCTGTGTTCATTAGACACAGTGTAAATGAAGCAAACTCATCATACCACCTGTGACGCTGTGTAGAGGTGTGGAAAACATGACTTGTTAGTGTTTCCTGGGGATGTGTTTGGAAAGCACCACTGTAGGATCATTTACCTATGTGGCATACTGATGTGAGCTCCCCTTCATATTCCCACAGCCTGCACCTGTCAGACTGTCTGAGGATAGCACTGTGAAATCACTGTGGGTGATACATAGCTATGACAGGCAGAGTCAGAGACAGCTGACAGGGGAGGAGATTGCTTGGGGCTCCAGAGGCAAGCATAAATCTACCTTATATTCAGCTTCCACCCCGCTGGAGTGGAGAAATCTGGCATCAAATACCAATCACCTGAAGAGTACAGTGTGGATATCTGTTGCTTCAAATACAAAGACGTGCACCATAGTCAACTAGTATGTTTGTTTCAGGTCATGGATCAGTAAAATGATTGTACAAAATGTTCATGGCTGCAGTGTATATACCAATAATCACTGGCTTAAAACCTCAGAAACATGTCAGAAAGGCCAATATCTCACCTGCAGGTCGGATCCCCATGTGTTGCTGACCATCCAACACAAAACTTCCCATTGGCTGTCCTTCTGGACTATACGCTGCTCCTTGGCTCACTGAAGGATCAAGAAGAAAACCTGATTGTGGTCAAACGTGGACACAGAGAAGAAAAAAAAGAAGAGAAGACATACCGAAATATCAGCAAAGGTTCCAGTTTCAGGACTGAAACACAAACTACAAACTAACAGAAACATTACAAGCAGAATATAGGTGCAGCCAGTATATACTATATGGGAGATTTGTATACCTTTATGTAAACTATACATACACACCCCACCACCATAGACACATGCTCTATCATACCATAAATTGCCCCAGCTTAATGATCATATTATACTTGTGTCAGCCTCTGAAAGGTACTAAACAACTTAATGTGGTACTCCACCCAGACCTAATATTCAGCTTTAGATTCATAACTATTGGTGGAATCACCCACCACCCTCTGCAGCCATGTGTTGCTGGGAGTTCCTGAGCTGCCAGCAACACAAACTTACTACATCCATTAAAAAGAGGGAGTGTCACTTTCCGTACAAGATGAAAGGAGAACTATGAGGTGAGTGCTTTTCACTCACCTCATAGTTCTAGCCGACCTGTGAAAATGAGACTGTCACAGGTCGGCTCAGTAGATTGGGAGGTGAGCGAACACATACTCTCTCGATCATGTTACGGCTCTCTGCCGTGACAGGGGAGGGGCTGGTTTCCCCCCCTCCCCGCTCCGATCCGCCAGCGCTGACTGGTGGATCGGACAGGGGAGGGGGCGGGTACAGCTGGCTATGCCTTTAGATAGGCAGAGCCAGCTGTCAGTCACGCAGCTGGGCGGATCCCGGCACAATTGTCGGGATCCGCTTCAGCTGCGGCGTCTCAGTATACCTCAAGCAGCAGCTCGCAGTATACTGCGGCGTCTCAGCATACCTAGAGCTACAGCTCGCGGTATACTGAGCCTAGGGTGACGGGAGGACGCTAGTTTGTGGAGAACTATTGGGAAAAGACTTAACTCCATAGTTCTCCTTTAACAATTATTGTGTCATCATAGAGGTTGCAGCAAAAAGACTTCTTGCTGCTTCAACAAAGGGAGTGAGGTTGTATGGCTGGAGGAGGATCTCCGACGGTGTCTCAGCACTGGAATCCCCAAAAGATGGGAGAAGCCAGTGGAGTAATTCAACCCACCATAATCTATCTATAATCAATAGCATAAGTATTGAGTGGACTGAGCCTTTCAATTATTGGGTTTACGGCATCACAGACCTTGGTAGTTAAATGGTAAAATCCAAATATCTACCAGCAGCTATTTAAAGTGATGTGTGTGGTTCCATGTTCATTATAACCTCCACTGCAATTCCAATCATTAGTTTGCTGCAATTTATAATGGGAGAAACTCTTCTAAAAGAAGTCTGCCCCCCTCCCACTCCTCACCCTCACAATTGCCCCACATACATTCTCACTCCTCACACCTAAGAAAAAGCCTGTGTTATAATGCAATCCCAGCAAGTTGTGTGTGAATAGGCACTGAATGAATACACACAATAGGCTGCATATGGGAAAGACTTCCTTATACTGCCAAGAACTGTTAGATGGCACCAGGCAGAAGAAATTAGTCATTTAACCCTTTCATGTTGAAAGCACCTGCTCCAGCCACACAAGGGTTAAAGTGTCTCCCAGTGGCCTGGTACTTTGCACCAATTAGCGGTTTGTAAGGAGGAGGAGATGCAATTGTACTGAGAGCATGCTGGAAATCTCCAATTAGCACCAATTAGCTGCTCCCTATGGTGGGATGCTGGGACTTAAAGGGGGTGAGATTGCCCCCTCTTCTTGTCCTTACTGTCTCCCAGAATGTCTTGCTGTGGTATTTTATTTAATGCACATTGAACCTCTTCTGTTTCACAAACCTTTTGGCTGCTTAGAAGTTCCTGAAGTTTAACTAGTTCAATGTCAGAGTCATTCAGATAGTAACTAGGCCACTTACCTGCTCGATTAGACTGGTCGATCATAGGCTGGACTATCCGTCTTCTGGCGTTAATAAACCTGAAACACACGGGCAAATTCCTGGTATTAGACACAAAGTTTTGGACATTCTCTCAAATAGTTTCAAAAGAAATGTTACTGAAGTTTTTGACTTTTTTTTTAATGTGATTCCTGTGCTGGAAGAGTGGAAGGTATAACTGAATACTTAGGGTGGACTGTACACAGGGTGCATCCTCACATCATTCACATATTACATTTTTATCCTGGTTCAGAAAACTGTCAGACCTTTTATTGTTCTCATGTAAATACTAATGGGGAGACATTTGTAATGTTTCTGTGCAGAATCTGGAGCAGCTGCGTATGGTAACCAATCAGCTTCCCTCTTTCATTTTCAAATCTTAACTGAACAAACTGAAGAGAGAAGCTGATTGGTTGCCAGGTACAGCTGCTCTAGATTTTGTCTGCTCCAGTTTTGATAAATCCCCGCCGATGTTTTGTGAAATGTACAGTTATTTGTTCCTATCCCTCTAGAAGGAAAGAGTTCACCGTTAAAAGAAATAAAACAAAACCATACTTGTGGGATTTAGTTCTAGAAATGCTTATGACCGTCTTATATGTGTTGGTATTAAATTGTGGAGTTATGGGGAAACAATCTTAGAACACTTTATACTGTTAACAGGACTAAGTAATGGCATAAAGGTGATTTGCTTATGAAAGCCTTCTAAGCAATGAATGCTGAAACAAACTATGAAAGAAGGGTATTAGTGGTCGTTGTCCGTAATAACCAGAAGAATGACTACTTGTATCCCAGAACGAGAATTTGATTGGGTGATATAAACAAAGACCTATCATTCCTTATAAATGAGCCCCTCTGTAGAAAAAGATATCCTTATTTAGCGAGCATTTGTCTCCCCATTTTCTTATTCACTGCCCCTGATCACTAGCAATCTCTAAAGTTTTGTTTTCTAACAAAGTATGAGATCCCAGAAAAAATGTTTCTGATTTTGCAGCAGGCCCACAAGCCCATCACTTTCTGATCTTGCAGCATAAGCCCACTCCCCACCCAGTCTACCCTAAATGAGGTCCAGGCTTTTTGTTTTCACATGGCTTCAGCGGGGTCAGCAGAGACATCCATTAAACTGTCTCATGTTTTATTGCCAGCCTTAGAGAGGCTGTAAGGCCTCCTCCCCTTTCTGCCCAATACCCACCACCTCCTCCTGACCCAAACTTTTTAAGCTAGGGGTCATACAGAGGTTAGTGCCAACTTGGGTTGACTTCTGGTGTTGACTGGTAGCCCTGAGCAACACAGTGTTTAAAAACCTTGGCACATATACAGACACTAAATATTATAATATTAAGAAGACACTCTTCCAGTTAACAAAGAACAAAGTATGAACAAAGAATAAACGAGAAGCTGTTCAGATGTTATTTGATATGTGCAAGCAGAAGGGAAAACTATCTGTTGGTTACTATGAACATAATCTCTATATTCTCTTGTTATTCTGTTTTTATACAAGGGGTATGTTATAATAATAATACGGTAATAATAATAATAATGTGTTGGTGACGCCGCTAATCACTTGGCATGAAGATAGACATCACATGGTGGCTATATATAGCCAGTTGTTTTATAGACGATCAGAGTATGTATGGTAAAGAATAACATAAAAGTTCAAAGTCGGGCTATTCCATGTACCTATTTTTACATTCCTGGTTGGTGTAAGTGGACCAAAGACTGACTATTCCTATCAGATGTTCTGGATCTGGGCCAGTGGTGCTCAATGCCAGTCCCTTGATAGTTCATGATTTTCAGTTCTCTTCAGAGACTCACAGATGAGATCATTTGTGTTGTGCTCTTATAGATTATTTTCACTGCCAAGTTTTCCCATGTGCTTTACTACACAAGAAAATGAATGAAAAATCAAACACAATGGTGTTAGTGGTGCTGTGCACACTGCAGGGTTGGTCTGAGGAACAAAAAAAACCACACTGCAGTTCCATTAGTGTCCTTAGGGGATGCCTTTCATCTTGGTGGGTCAAGTTTAATCCACTGTTATGTAGTGTACATATGTAAACAGAACCTTACACATGCTCCTAATTATTGTGCTTACTGTTAATGTAGCTGTGGCACTAGCAGAATTTAGTGGTCCTTGGGTATCAGAGTTTAGCACCACTGATTTAGGTTCCAGAACCCTTTTAAAGTGGTTCTGTTTATATTGATTTATTATTATATGTGTATTAGCCTATATGTAAAGGCAGTCACTTAAATAAGATTAAGTTTTTCCTTATACATCATTTAGGTTGAAGTAATGTAACACTGAAGCTGCTGGTTATTCAGTCAGTGACCGATGTTGAATTAGGGGGTCTAACGCTCTACTACTGAACAAAGGGGTCTATTAGGAATGTGTGGTGGAAGACAATGACAGATTTATCAGCTGTTAGGCAGTGAAGGGTTAAAGGCGCCCAGGGCAGTGCTTAAATCTGGACCCAGGGGGCTGGCATGCACCATTTCTGTTTAGCAAGACGGGTGTGAGGAGAACTGGGTGTGTATCCTTTATATTGACATGTGTTTGGTATTAAGTGCATGGGGGACTTTCCCTCCACCTCCTCCCTAAAAGTAGGTAGTAACGGTCCCCTATTTGACAAGGACGTGCAGAGCCATAAGTCACAGGGCCGTTAAGACTGGATTTAATTTAGATGGTAATCCCAGAATGAGTGCCTGCAATTTTTCATGTTACCTTAACTGGTAATTGTTGCCATTAATCCTCTGTGTTTCGAGTTAAACAAATAAAAGGTACTAGTATAAAGCAGACCCCCTTAGACCCCGCTCTACACCTCCTATGGATTAAAAACATGGCCGCCCTTCAAGGGTGCACACACTTAGGGGATTGGGGTCTCTCTCTGCAAATAAGAATTAATCGCACTTCCAACAAACGTTCAGCTGTCTGTCACCGCCGGGACAGAATATCCCTTTCTGAGGAGCCAGAAATGTAAGACAAGGTGGCTTACTTCAAATTCTACGTGCAATAACCCATAGCAACCAGCAAATATCAGTGTTCTTTAGTGAAATCAGTCAAAGACAAAATGGTTGTTATCAGTTATTGCACTCACGTAAAGGAGAATTTATTGTTATTACCCAGCTCCACGATCCTTGATTTTACATCCGTATCCAAGCCATGAGACGTTCTAAAACATCTGTACTGACAGCACAGAATCCATATACTGAAATTAATATTTCAGCACTATCTAACATGTAGATATGTAGCAAGCTTCCATTTATCCACCAACAAAGACCCTCAGAGGCCTGCAAACCATTAGGGATCCCCACCCCCAACACACCTCCAGCTCGGCACTCAGGCCTGTCTTCAAACAAGTCATTAAATGGAGGGTTGAAGGTTCAAACAAAGGTCATTTCTTTGGATACTACACAGAAATGTTTAGTAAACTGGGAGCTCTCCACTGATTGCCCTCCACCATATGTGCACTAGGAAGGGGCCAATGCAGAGAACATGACAAAACTCTCCAGTTACCATGGTATGCAATTCAAGTTTGTCTGTATGGATATTAAACCTACTGTACACCAAGGAATGATTAATAGGACCTGGGTCATCTTTGATATTTGTCAGGAACCTCTTATTGAATGATATGCATTCGAGATTTGGCTTTTGAATATAGTATTTTCCTGTATCAAGGAGCCTCTTGGAAATATAAAGAACATATATATGGTGTACATCTGAACCAACTCTTTGGTCATTGCCCCACATCCCTTATTGGAAATGTCAAATGGCTCAGAACTGTGACTGGGACTTTTCCGGTGCTACAATTATCAACTTCACAAACACAATTTATAAAATATCATTTTTTTAAATTACAAAGAGTTTAAAAATCCAAATCCAATTAAAACAAGACTTACGTTTTAAAGTAAATACAGCAATTTAGGGCAAGAACTATTACCTCAATACTGCACCAATGAGCAATATACATACTTCAATAACAAATTTAATATGTATGCAGATGCAAATGATGGGGAAGGGAGAATTATATACGTTTCTCAGATCAGTTGATCTCAATCAAGAGCTCATCTACAAAATTGTACTAAAACATATCCACATTAGAGGTAATTACAGCAAGTGCATACTATCTGCAGCATTGATACCAATAATCAAGACACGTACATAGGTTGCATTGAGCCATGCATCACACAGATACATAGTCAACGTTCGGCCCTTGCTCACAGAAAGACAAGAGGGGCATTAAAAGAAGGGGTCCATAGTCAGCAGGAGAACATTTCCCTAAAGTGTACTTTATGTAAACCCTAATAATGAACTTCTCTTACTTGCTTCCTTACAATGGAAAGTGTTTTGTTTTATCTGCTTGCTGTGTGCAAAAAAAAAAATACCTGTTGATTTTTCCAGAAAACTTGTGAGCTGATAACTTCCTGTGTACAAGGAGGGGTTATGTAGATGAGGAGGGAGAGGGCCGTGTTCTTTGTATTCCATCATAAATGAAGTGGGCAAGGTGGAGCCAACATACACTGATTTGTCGTGTCAAAGAGGAAGATAGGCACACACGAGATTTCTGAAACATCAACAATTATTTTTCTGTACTTGCATTGTGTCTAAAGGGATAAAACATTAGGGAACGTGCATGGATTGCAGAGATGTATAATGGGTTTTTATTCATTTTGCCTTGACATATGCTTTAATCTTTTCAATCAAGACTTTCATTTTGATTACACATCACCAGCTTGAAGAGAAGGTAAGGACCAGCCAAACACCCAGGTCTATGATAATTATAATAATGAAACCATTAAAGGTTTTTGTTATTGATGGAGGTACGAACAAACGGCAAACTGGATCAGTTATAAGTACACCTGCATGAATGCATCTTCAACTTAATGTAACTGCTACAGGGTGCCACTGCCCAGGTGGCATCAGAAAAGGCGGATGGACCGGAGCCTAAGCTTGCTGTAGGTTTTGCATAAGATGTATGCCTGCTGACAAGGTGGCAGCAGGTCCAAGCCTCATCACCCTCCATGCTTTGCATATCAACATGATTTG